ACCCTCCTCCTTTACCCGGGCTTGGGACCGGCAGTAACTCTAGGAGCTACAGGCGGAGTCTCCGGCTAGTACTACAATATCTGTCGAACTCACTTTCTGTAGAAGAACAGTTAACTGGTGGTAGAATTCATTCTTGATTGCATCCGGACTGCAATCTGTCGGGGCATAGGCGGAGATGACGAAATAACATCGTTTCTCACGCCGATTTCTTCTCACTTTGATGGAAATTTCTAATCTAACAGCACATAACCGACTGTCAATGAGGATCCAACCGATTAGTGCTGCCTCAGCTCTAGCGCTTAGTGCGACACCAACGCCAGCAAGACCAGACGAAGATGCCACAGGGTCCCCGGATAAATGCACGTAAAACAAGTTTTTGGAAGTGACAGATGGAGAGCGAATATGTAGTACTTCACCAGAGTCTTTAATACGGGTTTCCGATAGACAGCAAACATCGATATTAAGACTTTATGAAGACATAACCAGCCCTATCTGTTGTCCAACCTGCATAAGTGTGTGAACGTTGAAGGCAACCAGTTTGAATGGTACACGTGATTCCAGAAAAACTGCTTCAGTACTCGATGGTAACATACAATTTTCAATCAGGCAGTGACTCGAGAACGTTTAGATAGATCCGAATAACACCATAGGCAAGCTGCTGTATAAATCGAAAAATAAGGGTAGACAGACTGGGAATGAAAGAGAGTGAATAAATAACGTGGTAAATAATAATAATAATGTGAATTGTTTGACAGTAAATCGCTGCGAGAATAGAGTTTTCAGTGAATATCATCATTTTTATTATCATTATATTTGTGTGTAGGCTGAGATACTGCCCGGGTGCCCAAACCGAAGCAGGTGGTTTTCTTAGGGGGCCACACCCCGAGCCTTCGACTAAAGGTCTAACCCACAAGGCAGTGGAGCATCGTAAGGAGATGCAGTCCCATGGAAGCCGGTGACCAAGAAATTGGTTCATACGCCATTTGTTCCATCAGGATACTGGAGCCCATGTGCACCATTGATTTGGGATCCAGTTAAAGCGCCGGACGTTCGCTTTTCGTCCTCTCATTTTCGTAAACAACACCCCCGCCACGAGAAGGCAGTGAGTAGGACTTCCCTGGCAGAGGCTGTATACGCGTGGCCGTGTGAGAGTATTTCGAGAAGGAGCGAGAACCCACCCCACTCTCGGCCATACCAGGGCTTTTTTTTTAAAGGGAGGACTGTGAGACCTCCACACTGACAAAAACTACACGCCCGAGCTCACCCGACTATGGTTCGTCGCGAGTTTCAACCCACTGAAGTACTAATAGTAAATTAAATTTATACAAATATTCGTCAAGATTAGAACGAATAGTTTGACAGAAATTGGGCGCCGAGTATAGAGAAGACGTTTTTATGTGAAAATTATATTTGAAATAATAATTCCAACGTTTTGTCCAGCTAACTTGTCTGAACCTCTTCAGGGCAATGATCAAAATCATCAAAGAAATATGTAGCTTTTAACAATCGAAACTATACTCTGTTAAACCAATCATATTTGGAAGTAGATTTTTGTAAAATAAGATAACATGAGTCAGTTACATGGTAATCATGTGAAAAGTTCATGACGTAGAAATAAATAACTGGAAACGGATTTTATGCTTAAGATTAAGTTATTATTTATTAATATGTTTTATATGAAGGAATAAATAAATAAAAGTGCAGGTTCAAGGTTGAAAAAATGTTTCTGAATCATCGATGTGCATGTCAATTGAGAACACATAATTGTATTGCTAAAATAACACATTAATTTCAAATTAAAACACGAAGTTCAGCGAACGGATCTCTTTTCAACGAATTTATTATCAAGCTGTACAATCGTATATATATGAAATTTTTTTTGTAAAAGTACTAATTCCGTGAGGAAATGTGAACACAGTTAACCATGACATTAATTTCAGTTAAAATAATGATGCATGTGAAATAAACCGGTTGAATAAAGAAAGGGTCCAAATTACTTGTCAATGAATATTTGCCAGGTAGTCGCTAGTTGAATACCATTCTTTCGGTTCAGGCTGTTCTTGTTCGCCCATATACAGCGCTCCTGCTGTCAATCTTTCTTTATCAGAGGTAAAACCTTTCTGAAGTATTTCGGTCCCTTCAAAACTAATCTTGTGTCCTGTTTCTAACGCATGTAACGCTACTGCAGACCTATTCTCAAGTTTCTTTAAGTCAACCGAGGATTTGAGAACATTTTTCAAACACGGTTTGTGTTCCTTCAACCTTACATTCAATTGTCTGGATGTTTCTCCAACATAAGCTGCATTACAATCACGACAGTTGATCTCGTACACAATACTTTGTTGTTCTTCCTTTGGTAACCTATCCTTAACTTTCACGAATGTCGATATTATGGTGTCACTCGCCCGTAAATACACTCTTATATCATGCTTGTTTAGAATCCGTCTAATTTATTCCGATGTTTCACTTTAGGAATTACCGTACAAACCATTATCAGCCGCGTAATATCTATGTGGTGAACATTTAATCCAAAAATTACTTCTCAATTAATGTTAAATCAAAGTTTTAATACCCCAAACACCTAGTCAGTTACATAATATACAACTGAAACAAATATTGAATTAGAAAAGCAAGTCTCGAAATGACTAAAAATGGTAACGGACACATTAAATCATTTCGGCAACTAAATCACCGTCATCAAACACATAATCACTATGGCTTTTGTAGCTTACTCACCATCATTTCACGTTTATGTACAACTGTATTCTGGTGATTACGTAAGCACTGGTAGTAACAGAATAACTAGTTTAGATCGGAAAAGCCCCATGAATAGAAAGGCAAAAGAAATCAAACTATCGACCTAGGTCACATGCGAAACGTAGAATTTGTGATCTTCGTCATTTTTAATTAAATGTTTATATTACTGAGAATGGGATCACAATGTGAAGAAATAAAGGGGCTCAAAAGAGAGTAGTCAAAGAAGGAAAAAATCAACAACACTTATATCCTAGTGAAGATTAAATTACGGGTAACTTCTGAAAACTTTATGGACTGATATTATCTATATATTCTTATTGTATAACTATCCACTAACTAGATTATGTATATCTATATTCCTCTTACTATAAGATTCATTTTGATTTATAGATTATTATTATTGTACGATTTACCGTTCTTATATTATGTTCAGCTTATTGATTACAGTCTCCCACATGCACAGTCACTTTTTGGCTTGATGTTGTATAAATGTTATTTCCTATTTCATGGTGAGATGTGATCTATTTGGTTGCTATATAAACGAAGTATGTTGAAAATAAATGATTCGCATAATGGAAGCTGTTATTGGTGTTCTGGACTCAACTGAAGGGGCTATGCGGACAAAGGATGAATAAGGACGCTAGGCTGCTCATACCAGGTGAACGTCATTGGTTTGGCACAGTTTTAAGATTGAATAAGTCGTATTTCGATTGGCAAATAAATCACGTGATAAAAACTCGGCTTTAAAGTCACAACAAACAGTATAGAATATGATGTACAAATCAACTATCAATACAACTAAGAGATTACTCTTTCAGTTTAACAAGTTCCCCTCAACTTTACTAAGAATGTAAAGGAGAACTACATCAGGATGATAATCGACTGCTATTTTAATTTGTATCTGATAAGGTCTCACATCACCGAGACATAGTATCACTGGCACTCCAACCAGGAAGAGACTACCGACCCATAACCGCATGAGAGCATTTTGAGAGACTGCAAACCTTTCTCATCCTCGGGCACAACAGGGTATTTGTGAGCACCTTGGAGATATTCGAAACCGATAGTTCTAAATCCTGAACGGTAAGGCTTAGCATTGATATTCGTCTTTAATCAGCGAGTCCTATTATCTAATCCTAGTTTCACTCGTTGTTCGCCAATTCTATTCTGTTTCATTGACCATTACTGATACTATTGTCTCAACATTTCTGCTTTTATCTTGTTAACAACCTCTGTTGTCATGTGACAAATTGAACTGATGCCCACTTGGGCAAACTTCTTATTACAAGAATTAAAAATACGACCTGGGAACGGAACCGAAGAAGCTTAATGAATCACCTACAGCAAGCTGGAGACAAATATTTTTAATTTTTCAGGTTGGTTAACTATAAAATTTAACAAAAAGCTCTCTTTTACACGACAAGAACATATATTTGCTTCGATGATTTACCTAACGGACTAAAAAACCAGTATTGATAACGTGTGCGAGAATTATAAGTAACAGTAAATCAAGTCTTAATTCATTGGAGAGTGAGTGACACACAAAACTGACTTCTACCAATTACTATTGGCGTCTGTTTATGATTAGAGTGTAAATTTGTTAGAAGATGAAAAAAACCCTTTCCCTGACTAGTGAGTTTGTCTTTGATGTCAGTTAATTCGAAGTTTTGAGTCAATAACCTGCTCTCGTGAGTAACTATATCGTATAAATGTATTTCATTCATTGATCAGTAATCTGTTTATTCATTTTAACAATTACAAACCTTGATGACTTATTAAATCAGTTACTGTACAACATGAACCAATAGTAGCATAATATCATTCATTAGTAAATACAATCAACATCAGTTATTCAAACAACCCTGATGAGTTGTTAGTTTTCGGTTATTTCCAAAAACAACAACAAGACAAAACACTTGATCAATTATAATATTTATTCATTACATTTACATTTCATATTTGTTTATTAATTTCAAAAAAATAAGGATAGTAAATAATAACCATGATAGTGATTATTATTGAGACAACTATTCAAACTTAGGAAACAATTTAGTGATTTCATCTATAGTGTACAATTCATTCACAATAATGAAGAGTCTAATAATCATAAGACAAGTATTACTCTCAATCACTTATTTGTTTGTTATCGTTAATTGAAGAATACACTTTTCATATTGATAAACACTTTTTCATTTTCATTTCATTTTATACAAAACTAGTAATAATAATAATAATAATAATAATAATAATAATAATAATAATAATGAGTAATTATAATTTCAAAAATCATTACAAAATTGTTCTCCAATTACATTTCAATGTATTTAAGAAATTAAATTTTAAGAAAACAAAATTTTTTTGTTCTAATCAAAAATGATACATTTTGTTGGTGATTATTTTTACAAATTGTATTACCTGTTATTATTTATTGATTTTAAACGATGTTGTTTTAAACAATTCGATGTACAAAAATTATAATCCATATAACTGAATGGAACTTTGCCACTTATATCACAACCACATTGAAAACAACGACTGTAAAAGCAAAGACGAATAGAAAAAGAAGAATAAAAATATATTAGTAGATGATTGTTATATGGATTGAAATGGGAGACATTGAATGATATAGTTCAGAACTGATCTCAAACTCATAGGATTATTCACTATTTATCTTCTCCTAAATTTTAGGTTTTAAAATAATCTCATACAAGTTCATTCATTTTTCTTAAATTACATTGTTTATATCTAATATATTTTTTTTCTATCATTGACACTTTTATTACTTAAACATTCGTCTATTTGTGTTGATGATACAAAGAGATAACGTGAATTGCTGCACATAAACAATAGGCTCTACGTTGTTTATGACTGACTGATTTGGATATGTGATACTTTTTAACACTTACTAATAACGTCCTGATGTAGTAATAGTAGTTTGCAGTGTCAATAAGTGTTTTTTTTTCTAACCAGTTGAAACAAAAAGCTTAACGACGAAGAAAAACACTGACGACTAGTGCAAAACATTAACAGAACAATCATTTTGGAACTATGAATAGAAAAGTTTTGCCATTACTATTTCAATTACCTAGATAACTATAACGAAACATTTTCAATTCTAAATTATATTCATTCAATCAATGAATAATGATTGGTAAAAATGAAAGAAACTAATGTAAATTAACTGATTTTTATCAAGAAATAGATTGTAATATTTGTAAGTAAAAAAAAGGTTAGGCATCGACAGTTTCGCTGAAACACTAAAATAACGTCCTGAAGTTCAGTGTTTAAAAGTTAACTTTATAGTTTCCAGATATCTACACTAAGCCCCGAACAGAAAACACAAATTGAAAGTATAGAGGATGCTTAACCTCGAAAGTTCGTTCATGTACATAAAAGCAGAACATTCATAAAATTATATTTGACCCTGAAGTTCTAAATGCATCTGGAAAACAAGATCGTCAATCACAACACTAAAGATACCTCTTAAAGATTTCTAAAGAACACTGACTAATAACAATATATTCAGCACTTTCCTAGACTGTGAAGAGATTTCCGAAGAATCATCGAGGTTATCGAACGAGTAAACTGTTACACTCAAATTCATAAAATAATGCCCAAATTTTAATGAGTGGTAAAAAGGACTCCTACTTATCTAGTTACAAAATGTCTTAATAATTTATTTAACTTCACATGATAATGACAAAGTTTAAGTTCCCATTTTGTAAATGCAGAAACAAATAAAATAAATGTAACGTAATAAAACTAAAATCTCATTAAATTTTCAAAGTCAATAACTCATTTTTTTCCAAATACACGTTCATCAGACTAAGAACAGGGAAAAACGATTTCTTGTCATACATCACATACAGATATATGATTTCCAAACAATAACAAATCTTCTTAGTATATGGGGATTTGTGGAGGATTGTAGTGTTTTCACAATTGAAATCACGAACTGATCCTAACTAGACTACCATTGGAAACTTGGAAGTACTGGGTGGTTGTTTCACCCTATTATAAGACATATCATCTGTGCGCATCCACGACCTCGCACCCAGGAATCGAACGCAGGACTTTTGATCATTCATGAGAATGCCTAACCTCTAGACCACTGGACCGTTATCCAATGGTGAAAAAGCTTACCTTCAATCAACCCATGATCTTGCGCAACCCTTCATCAGCTGGCTGAGATAGATAACTCTCTCACACTCGACAGTGATTGATCTCCACTAGTCAGGATTTATTTAAGATCAGTCCATGATTTCAACTGTGAAAAACAGACCTTTCCTACTAAAATCCTCCAATAAGCACTACGATGAACATGTCTATCCATAGAATTCAGCGACATAGAAAAATAAGTAATCTGAGGTTGATTATCATCGCGGACTGTGACATTAGTTGAAAGGACATTGTAAGCTAAAATACTGAACAGACGGTTTACTCCAACTTAAGACAGCAGTGTGCAACGATCTTGAACACACTTGACCGAATTTCCATCCCATTTTTTATACCATTGAATTAAAATCAGTAAGATTATATACTATCTTTGCATATATTTATGGTACTTTTAATCGTTGAGATCATGAGTCAATTAAAGCTAGAACACCATGGAAAACCTGGAAGCACTGGACGGCTGTTATGTCCTACTGAAGGACTCCTTGGCCGTCCAGTGCTTCCAGGTTTTCCATGGTGTTCTAGCTTCAATTGACTCATGATCTCGACTATTAAAATTACTATAATATCCAAAAAAACCATTTCTGATATATTTATAGCTAAAACGTTTTAAGTTTTCCTTAAGGATTAAAACATCTTTTTTCAGTAAAAACTAATCCACTCGAATTTGAGTCACATTATTTTTGGTATACCAGCTAAAAACACAACCCAGCATTTAATATCGGTCACTGAAACATTCAACGTGCTCCTGATCGGAAAACAAACATGATTTAATCCCAACTAAGCCTACATCGAACATTTGCAAATGAATAAAGATATACACATAAACATATTTGACATTACCTGAATACCATGAATGGTTCACCGGTCGCAGAACCAGAAGAAATCAAACGACGTTCTGTCACGATAGCACGCTAATGTATATTTTTTTTACAAAAACCCAAGGGGAAAGACGAAGAGAAATGAATCGGAGACTTTAATTCATCACAGGTAAGAAAGATACATATATCGAACAGCAACCAAGTAAATAGAATTGTAATAGTGGGGATAAAAAAATTTTGTAGTCATGTGTTCAGTATTTCCATTGTTGGCATTATGATTTGGATATGATCAGTCTCTATTAACATATCTCCATCCAGAGAAGATGGGATCGATATTATCTTGAATTACAAGTTTTAGCAAAATTTGACCGTGCCTGGTAGTGTGATGTGTAAAGCAAATTTAGTACTATTCAGAACTCATCAACTGGATTCAAGTGCCTACGTATTGGTGTTCATATTGTCAATTAAATTTAGTACCTATCGCTGCAAACACGAAGTTATCCAGTAGATAGCGATAGATTTTCTCCAAAAACTATCAATCATACTCAACTATCCGCATACTAAATAAGTATAACAAAATTTTAACTGTCATTCTACAACTGATTGGAAGTAAAACGCTCTAATCATTACATCACTGTTTCATATAATTGTTAAAACTGGTAATGGGAACATAAAAACGCTAAGATTCTCGTGACAAGAAAGAAGACAAAAATTAATGCCAAATAAGGAATTTATTCACCCTTCAGAAAAAACACAATGATGCTTTAACTAAAACACATATATTTATACATTACTCTTAGCGAGATGATTAGTCACCAATAACCGAAATAGGGAAATATAAAATTAGATATCACAATGTTGCTAAAGTGAATGAGATTTACATAAAATAAATGCAAAATGATCCAATACTAAACAAATACAACACTGAATTAGGACGTGATCTCATGACTATTATTTTTTTGAGAACTATTGATTTTATTGAGACAACTATTGAAAACCAGAAAGCACTGGATCGTTGTTTCATACAGTATAGGACTACCCATACGTGTGACTATCCACGACCCACCACTGGAGATCAACCCTAGGATTTTTAGGTATTGTGAAGAGCACTTAGTCTTTAAATCACTGAGTTACCATCCAATAATTTACACTTCAAATTATTATCAAGTAAAAACAATATTCACTTTTTCGCGATCGGATAAGGCTAAAAAACGTGCTTGTTCTTCAGCATCTTTCTTTTGTTGTTCAATAGCTGCACGTTCTGCAGCACGTTTTTCTTTTTGTCGTTGTTTTTGTCGTTTCGTGCGTTCACGATCACGTTCAAGTTTGGCAGCCTCTTTTGATGGATCCAATGGAGCAGGTATCTAAATATATATTTGGGAAATATTTTTTAAAACTATTTTTTGAAACAAAAATCAGAATTAACAAAACATCTGATGAACTTTTGTGCAGTGAAAAATACTGGGCGAAATAGAAACCAAATGAAAAATTGTCTACATCTTGTTCCCAAAAATCTTAAAATTGATTTAAATGTGTATTAAGCGCAATCATAAAGTAAATGTTTGGAAAGGATTGTCCAAGACAGAGTTCTATGGAGAATGCTGGTGGGTAGCATTTGAATGAATAATGAAGGGTATTTGTGCAAAAAATTATCCTAACACTCCTAATCTTAATTTATAACTCTGGTTGAAGTTCTAATAGCTAAAGCAATCCGGTTTTATTTTACTGAAGTAAATAATTTAACACATAAGGATTTATTAATCATGTCAAAACTGTGTCTATTGTAAATTCATTAATTGTAATCGTTAATTGTTTTATAATCCAACACTGTTTTCTGACTGACTGATAAGTCATTAAGGATCGTCAGTATAGTTTAATTTTACAAATATATTCAACATTAAGATATCCATGATATGAACAATTGATAATTAAAACAATAAACACGTCTAATTGTTGGGTATGCTTAAATGCTGTTCCCTTTAGTGAGAATTTGAATTGTCTGTTATTTTAAGCCGGAATCCTTTATGACAGTCATCCTTAATTTCTATTTCAGAGAAAAAAGCTTACTTCTTATTAATTTATTACACTCTTGATAAGCTAATTTTCTCTTACATAAAAGAACATTGTAAATCTATTTAAATGAAATAGATAGCCGTTGAAGTGAATTAATATTTTTTCGTCTCTTTCAATAAATCTTCAGAATAAAATCTGTTTTTTTTTTTCAATTACGCAGAGGTAGGAAGAAGACAAGGGGTATATCTGAGTAGAAGATAACAGTTTTTCACCTAACTGACAAATTGATCCATAGTCATAATCAATATCATTAATATAATATATATATATATATATATATATATATATATATACCAAAGAAAGGTTTACGAACTAAATTTCCTGTTGCATGTTACATAGAAGAATCAATGATACTACCCAACTCCTTAAACCGAAATAGGTGAGGCGGAGTTCGAACATGTGACCTCACTGGGATCCAAGTCAGGTGCTACAAATACTGAGTCATTACACTTGACCGCCTTAAAATAAATTCTGAATAAAACATTAGGCACTACAAAAATATCGTAAGTTAATAATTATTCTAAATAACTCACTTTAGCTTTTTCATAATCATAACGATTGGGATGATGAAATCGAAAACGTCGAAATACATTAGCCATTGACTTTTTATGCAATCGTGTAGCTAATTGATAAGGTGTGATACCATCCCCATCACTAAAGTGATTAAAATAATAATAATTTATAAATAGGATTCACTTAATTTGTCTGTTTAGATATTTTAAAAATGACATTTCAAGTAAAATCATTTTTTTTTTAAGAGTACAAGTTCAGGACAACAGAATCCAGACTAACAGTATGAGCAAGTATCAGAACATAATTAGTTGATTTCATTACTAATTCGTAAGTTTTATTATTAATCGCAATTACAAAGTAGTATTGAAGGATATATGTATATTATCAGTCAACGATTTATTAATAAGGGTAAACCTTTTCGGTAAAAGGTATATTTTAGGGACGAGCAAACAGGAATCGAGAATCCGATGTTTAGGCTATTGCGCAAAATTCAAAAACTATGTATAGTGAGCAGTAAAAATACCTTCGCATATAGTAAAAACGATAGCGTAAAATATATAAAACCCTTATTGAAGCCTCTTAAGATGGTATATAACAAGCTAACCGACACTATTCCTGAATTAAACCATAAACCCTTAATAATGAAGCAAACCTTAACCTAGTGACACTAAATTTTAGGGAAAAATTGGTCAGATAGTACCTACATTTCACCACGACAACATGTCCACGTGATGAATTCGTTAGCCTTGAAGAGCGAATTTCTAATTCAGATAAGCCTATAGGCTTTCCCGAGTGGGGCTTCACCAACCTCGAATAGCTGGAACAACGGAACACTCTTCCATTATAAACTATCCATTTATAAACGGTATTTTCTAATTGACCAGAAACTAACTGGAAATTTATCGAAATTCATTTAAGCTCGTCCGTATATTATATTTTTCATGTCTTTTCAGTTACAAATATCTAAATATAAGCATCGCCGAACATATTAACAGCTGACGACTAAAATTCTAAAGCATACCATTATTAACATCACGGTAAATAACATTTTATCATCATATAATCGAAGACAAATTATATCTACACTTATCGTCAGAGAAAAGCTGTTGATAATATTAGAAGTCAATAAGTTATGTTTGTTCATTATAGTGACAATAAAGAAAACCATATTCGTCTCTTAACTGTAAAATCAAAATGAAATTAAGTTAAAAGATATAATATACATCTACTTGTAAAAAATTCAATTTAAAACAACATGAGAATGTTAATCAAATTTCTCTATCTAACTATTGACAGTGTTTTAACCTTAATTAATACTAATAAATACACACACTACATCATTTATACCATTTCTATAATCGTAGTGATTTTATAACAATTCTAGAAAAGGTTGCAAAATTTAAAGTGAAGATAATATAGATAGCATAATTAGCATTCATGGAAAAAGAATTTTAAAAAAAAACATACTTTATAACCTCATCTACAAAAAATCACGATGTAAACTACTAAATAACATCAAATATCAAAGAATATAGTAATTAAGCTGTAAAATTTAATAAACAATTATATCATTAACAATGTTAACAAACAGAATCAGATGGTCAACACATTAAATGATGTTATACAACAGGTAACAAATAAACGTTTTAAGGTTGGTAAGTAAATATTCAGAAGGGCTGTTATACAAAAACACTGAACCCACACGTTATCCCAAGTGTCGATCAGTCGCTTATGATCAATGCATAATTTCATATCGATGTATTACCCTCATACCAAATTGGCACAACAGAGTAAAATTAACAGGAACAAATGTAGAACAGTCAAATAACACAATAACAATCATAATAACAATGAATAAATATTGAGAATATAGTTCGAGAACGTATCAAAACATAAATAGATCCAAATACTACTACTACTACTACTCAAGATCTAAAAGACAATAAAAAGTATACACATCACAGTCATCATGACAGATTCAAGGCAACGTCACACAACGTCTCCAATCATCCATCACGATCAACACTTGCACTCTCATCAATAGATCTTTCGTGCCTAACCCCAGTATAATATCCCTAATCTCACCGACGATCACTCAGCAGTTCTATGGTACACCGAACAATGATTTCAAGAGACCTGTGAATAAAGCGCTCTAGTCTATGGATTCCCACGATTTTCGAAAAACATGTTTAGCGACAATAAAGCAATACAGAGTAAATGCCTATGCGATTTGATAGCCTTTTAATAGGCAAATTGACATCTTGTTCGTTAAATTATCTTTCGCAAAAACAATTACTAATTAGTTTGAACATTTTTTACTATGAATACGGTTCTTCGTTAGCATATCGACTAAGGATAATGTAATAGCATAATTCCAAATAAACTTGGTACCATGAGATTTTAAAGCGTTATGGAAGGATTTCAGAATTTTATTAAATACACCAATGGATTTTTAATAAACTACTATCTGACCCTGAATATTTATGCAGACGGAGAAGTATATAGGCTGTAAAAATAAATCATGAGTAAATCCTCGCTAACATATCACTACGCCTTCGAAACACTATCACAGAGAAAGAATGTGGGCCATTAGTACCTGGTTACACAATATCATTGAAGAATCGAATAAACAAAATAAAATAAAAATAATAGAATAGAAAAAAATAGTGAGTTCCTAAATTATAGTTATGACCTTAAAGCAGCATATTATAGATGGAGTGAAAAATAATTCAAAATATATAACAGAAGGTATTATTGATAAAAATTAATTAGAGAATACATCTGTAACAATCAATTTACGGTTTAGGTGAGACAATACATAACCTATAACAACAATGCATTCGCAATACTTCAAAACATCATCAAATTATCGATACTTAACAATCATTCCCTAAACCTGACGTATTATCCTGGCTAGTGTAACAGTAGTCTAGATAAAACTAGCCAAACTGACAAATAGAAAAATATTTTTGACAGTTAACTTGAACAATGTGTAGAAGTGTAGACTTCCAGGTTGAAATTCACAAAATAATCGTGATCAACAGTTCGAAACAATAAAATTACACATACCGGTATAGATATATATATTCTCTAATTTTCCTTCTAATTTTGAATATTATTTCATAATTTTTACTTCTCAATTTCATTCCTTCACTAATTTTCGCAATGTACAGTTGTAAATTTTGCTATCATAAGTTGATCTAACTCGTTATTTGCCTGATAAGTGGACATGATGTTGATGTCTCAAAATCTTTCGACATAATCAATAGATAAAGGAATTTGAATATATCACACTTTATTGAAACCGTTGTTATAGAGAATATTTAAATCAAATTTTTGCATCAAAAAAGACATGGTTATCAATCTTGTTTTGTCAAAGGGACAGAGTTTTAATGAGCTTGTTAAGTGAGGAGTTTTTTTCACGATCATGATGATAATTTTTTTTATTTCTTGCGGCTTACTTTAGGTTTACTCAGCTATTCGTCTTTTTTTAAGTACAACATAAATCAAGACATAATCCTTTGATTTCTAGGAATTCTCTCTTCATACTCTTCTCAATTTTCTATTCGTATTATTTAACCTATGAATAGGAAACCATTTGAATGATTTTTATTCATTCCGCTCAAAATTATTGTTTTTTATCAATCAATATCTACATGTTAAACTGAATCTTTGGTTATAACTTTTCAAAAAGAAATTTTACGTATTTATTGTTTTGTTTTATTCTACATTTATAGATCGTAAGCAGATGAAAAGAAATCATGAAATAAATGAACTCGTGTATTATTCAGCTACGATTGTTGGCTCTTACTTTATTTAAACTAGTACAAATTATTTAACAAATATAATTAATTATGCACTCGATTTGGAGACAACATTTAACTATGAATGATACTATCTCGTTCTGACACATCTACATGTATCTACGAATTCAGCTGTTCCTGTGGAGAAAGCTACATTGGGCGCACTGCCAGACAACTGAGACAACAAGTTAGTGGTTACTTCCCTTCGTGGTTAAGAAAGAGTATCGTCAAGACAATACGCAGCTCGATTTTATCACATTTGATAGATAGCAGTCATGTAGTAGACAGAAATAGGTCATTTAAAGTGATTTATCCTATTCCTACTAGTTTTCCTTATGGGGTTCGATCTCGTCTCTTAAACATAGTAGAATCCATAGGAATTCGGGCTAACAATCCAAGTCTTTGCGTTCATAAGAAATTTGTAACACTTCTATTTATTATTTTCCATACTCCTTCGTTTATTTTTCCTCATCCCCTCCCACCTATTTTTATCCAAATATACGCTTGATTGTCTAATTATCTGAACTTGTCTTATTACATAAACTTATAGTTTTTATGAATGTTATCTCAGCATCTATGGGAATTAGTCTCACTACGAAACATGGATACAAGCCTTTATTATTCGTATCACAACTATTACACATGTCATCACACCACTGATTTGTACTTCTTACTTATTATGTTTATCTATGTTATCTATTTCACTATTATCATTGAATCATGCATATAAATATTACTGTATATTAGAGTAAAGCCTGATGAGGATCTAATCAAAAATAATATTATTCGTTCATATATGTTGTTCTAATTCACAATATGGGTATTATTTTCAAATTATTCGATTACTGACCAAAATGAACCATTTGAGATAAAAATTTAAACCTGCAAACTGGAACTCTACGATGTGTATGCAAGAAATCATCATTATAACATTGAAATCAAACCGTCCTAAATTAGAACAAAGAAAAAGTTTCAAAAAGTTAACAAAATGATTGTATAGAAATAGAAATTAATACATTTTTATGTATGTATAACTTAGAATAATATTTTACACTGACCTAGTTGCTGGATCACATCCACATTCAAGTAATAAACGAATTAGTTCAGGATCACTTTGAAATTCTACAGCTACATGTAAAAGTCTTCGTCCATCAGTTAATGGTTGATTAATTAATTTTAAACAAACATGATATGGTGGTATAGTTGATGATCCAGGTGAAGTACACTCTATGCATAAATAACAATATGAAAATATTTAATGTTTCAAAAGCAAATAAACACCTAATTTCAGTAAGTCATTTTAAAAATAAATAAACGTCTTTTTGTGTATATGGGCGAGTTAATGTCTCGTTTTCGCTCTACTTACCTAACAGATGAAACGTCACTTCTTATATACGAATGAACAATAAATGAATGGCAACTGCTAGGAGTAATTTATGGAATGTTATATATACTGAACGGGCTGGATTATGAAACTACTATATGGAGGACCAATAAGGACTCAGAGTCGACTCAAGGCTGATCGCGCTGGTTGACGCACCATTGGTTTAGCAAGGTAACAGAAGTCAGTATTCTGATTGGTGGTTTTGTCATATGATATTTGACTTGATATTTTATTTCATAAAATTATAAAGAGAATACAATGTACTAATCATACATGCTAAAACATAAACATATAAATTTCTATATCTTGTTAGTTATTCGAAATAATAGAATATCGCTTTTGTAGTACTCTTAAAAGTGTCATAAATAAGATAAACTCTTAGATGAAATACAAGTAATAATATTCCTACAAAAATAGCACAAAACAAAAGTTGAACAATTTGGTCTATCTAAAGTACTGGTATAACATGAAAAGAGAATTCATTGTTAACTTAAACTAGATAACACCCAAATCGAAACTTATAAGTTAACACCGTCGCCACTGTTATAACCTGCTCTTTGCTATACAATTTGGAAATACCAACGTAAAGGTGATTGCAAAACAAAGACTTGTCGACACAACGCCAAACGCTTGACATACTTCCCAACGATTAGTAATTATTAATTACATTTAAACAATTATTACTTGAAACGAACTTCACATTGTCAAAACTGAATGAATGATTATTGGAATACAGTAGGATAACACCGAAATAGTTAACAGCTTAATTTGTTGAAATACAAACGAATATTAAGCTGAACGTTTACCATATTGAACTAATCAATAATCTTACTCTTCATCGCTTCTTATCATTCCTTATGTTAGAGATTGATAGCAGTTGGAGTACTATTGAAAAGCAAGGAGCACTGAACAGCTGGTTCATCTTGATGCATGAGAATCGTCAGCAGTGAGTATACATGACTCTACCAGGGATCGGAAGCGAGGGAGTTTCAAGTCATATAAATAAATCGATAATGACACTATGATCACAGAGTAATAATCAAATCCTAATCAACGCCATTTTTTAAATGCCTTGCTATCGTTTCCATATTTATTCTATGTGCCGACTTTCTTTCCTACTTTCAAAGATATTGTAGATACATTTGTACACTGAATAGCTTCTTGCCAATTTCAGCATTAGTCCGTCGTTATCAATAAATATTCCCTAAAAGTCCTGTCTTTTTTGACTAACCGTGATTAGGAAAAAGACAGAATTGTGATGTTCAGTGTACCCAAATCAGAGCTGAGAGTCCGCAATCCAGGGGACAAATAATATCATCTATACACTTATAAATTTACGAAACCTGAAAATGTTAAGTAATCATCTTAAAATTGTACACTAACCATTAGGGGATGTATTAGTAGCGGTCAGAATATTAGTCGTAGTAATAGCAGTAGTGGGAGTAGTATTCAAAGCAGTTGAATTATGAACTGTCCCCTCCAATTTATTTAAATCATCGCTTTGAGTTATATTGGAAATATCCATTGGTAATAAAGAGCGTAAAATAACCAAGTCTCCAGAAGCAATCGCTACACGTAAACGTCTATGCCAACTTTGATAGGTGAAATATAAATCTGTGTAATATTTTTAATTATAGTAAAATGGAAAATCTCATTAGTAATTTATTACACAAAACAAGAAAAGAGTGAGAAAAAAAGACTCGAACTAAGTGTTCATTTTATGTCAAAATGAAATAATGAATGAATAATAATTGAGGTGTGCACCATTGAGTGAATAGTGCCCTACTGGATATTACTCAGAATAAAAGTGTTATCTTGTAAATATCCGATGAATTTTTAAACTCTATCTACATTAGATTCAAGTAATTATCAATATGTTAGATAACTAGAGATTATGAATTCAATCTTCTCATATTGCCCAATTGTGAGAATTTCGCTTGTAGTGACTCTTATCATACATTTGAATTACAAACTTTATCAAATAAACAATTGCATCGTGAAGTGATATGGTACACTGTTGTGTGACCTTTACATGTTTCATTGTAATGATATTTGTTATATTGTATATCCTCATATGTGTGCGGCTATTTATGTTTCTAGTATTTTTTTATCCATTCTCTTATTTTCTGTAGACGCAGTCGGTTAATAATTTGCTACTTATGTACACATTTATAGTGATATTCAAAACAAAATCAATTCATTTACATTCCTTTCTTGTGTCTGGTTTGATCGCTAAGGTGTGATCTGTTGATTTAGTTCGCTCCTAATAAAAATTGACTTCCATCCAACGCGTATTCGATTGCTTGATTGCTCGAGTAGAAATGAATTTTACGTACTCGAAGAATTAACCAGTGGAATATATATGAACCTATAAGATCGATTATACTTAAAGTCGGAAACAAGTATTCCAACACGATTTATGCCTACCACTTTAACCAATAACACAAATGATTACCAACAATACTCGGATATCTTAACACCTGCTGGTTTGTGCAGATTATATTCCCAAAGCGCAATTAGAACACGAAGATGGTCAGTCAATTTAGCATCTATTATTGTATTGTGCCATGATTCAAAAGCGCACAGGTTAATATGTATCAATTATACGGCAACAACGCACCACAATTTTTTTAATTAACTCATTCACCAGATACCTGGTAAGAGCCACACTCTAAATGTGAGGGCTAACGATACTACCCGGTTGACCAGACCAAAGTAAATATATGACTAGGTAGTCCTACATGATACAAAGCCGAATAATAGATGTATAATGAATTAGCAATCATACAAAAACAGCATAACATATGCCGACAGTTTATGAATGAAACGGAAGCTTACAATATGAATGTTATAAAATATCATAAACCGAATATCTAATAAGACACAGTAAAAATATGCAGAACTATTCCTCCGCAAGGGTTACTGAGGATCCCGAGTTGGTTGAGTTATGGTTAATAACCCTAACTTGTAGAAGAGAAACGCGATACAAGAACGCTAACCAGATAAAGCCAACTTAATCAGCAAAAATCTGCACTGAGAGTTGAAGGGTTTTCATCATGAGAGCTGCGAACCTCTGGAAACCACGTGTCCAGAACTCCCTCTTACAAACCAAGGCAACAATAAATATAGGGAAATGAAATGTCCGAATAATGTGAGAAACCATGAAAGTCACTCGAATATCAACAGAAACGAGAAGATACAACCAAGTTCTACTTGAAATAAATGAAACTCGTTAAACACAATCTGGACAGAAAAAAACTAACTTCAGGAAAAATTCCGTTGTATTCAAGTCACGAAGAAGAAATTGCTTCATAGACAACGATTCGTACTGATTTTACCCGAAGTACAAAAAGTGCCTATAAGATGGGGAATCCACTGCTCCAAGTTTATCATAATTTCCTTCAAAAGAAAGAAGGAAAAGGTTACAATGAATGTCATTCATTGCTACACACCCACCGACGATGGTGGTGAAGATGATAAAGACCAGTTTTATGAAAGTCTGTAGTTAACCCTGTATAGTTAAATGTCAGATAGAGAATCTAAACGCAGAAATTGAGACGGACAGCAGGGGATACGAACGCATTGGGGAACATGGGCTAGAAGGAAAAAACAAGATGTAGCTCCCCTACAGCTAAAGAATAATCTTAGCGTCCAGGACAATTATGACCCAACACTGACATTAAAACAATTCTGTTGTACGGAATCAAACTTGTATAACTACCAACAACAACAAAAAGTACAGGTATTTATTCTAAAAAACCACCTACGCAATATACTCACAAATTATTGGTCACAGACCATCAGCAACACCCTACTCTGGTAGCAAACAAACAAGATACCAGCTGAGAAAGAAATTATGAAAATATGCAAACTAAACACAAACCACTAAACTGCGTCACAAGGGAAGTAATAGCTTGAAATCCCTAAAGCAAAGGAAAAGAGGCACACCAAAGGACATATCGCGCCGAGAATTGAAAGCACACTATAAAATCACGAATCACCGACTGGGAAGGAGGGCAGAGGACAGAGTCGCTATGGGTTACTTGGACAACAGTGGCCCATGCTCCATGAGTAGTAGTAGGATTAATTGAATTAGTTGATTATCCGTAGACTGACTCTAAAAATTTCAATGTTTCCAATCATTAGTGCATACCTGACAAAAGGCAATCGATAAAAAGACCTAAGTCTCGTTATATTAATTGGTGTTTGTTAATAAAGACATTTCAGAACCACTCATCAGTGAGTACGTTTACTAACCGTACCTCATTTATGAAGTTTTTACAAGGCTTTGAAATGCATTATGTTGGGGCTGGTGAACCTACCTCCCAGCCTTAAGAACTTTAGAACATGGGAAGATCTTAAAACTGAGACCTAGTGGTTAATAACCAAGTGGTTTAACCGTCACACCATCATTTCATATACAACCTACAACGCCAAAAAGGAATTGAATAAATGATCATAGACTCTTCGGAGTAAAAGGATACCGTTTCAGACTACTTGAATTGGAATCCGATAGTTCCAGCTTCCAAACTAAGATGGAGCAGATGTGCAGTCTAATAAGTAATTATCAACGTTGAGAATGGCACAAATGTGCGTTGACTCTGATTCGCCACATCAAACCAACAAAAACCAGAATTTCATTCATGAATACAAAATGCCAACTGCGAAATACCAACTAAAATCGATATAACAACTTCCACTACATCATTTATACCATTTCTATAATCGTAGTGATTTTATAACAATTCTAGAAAAGGTTGCAAAATTTAAAGTGAAGATAATATAGATAGCATAATTAGCATTCATGGAAAAAGAATTTTAAAAAAAAACATACTTTATAACCTCATCTACAAAAAATCACGATGTAAACTACTAAATAACATCAAATATCAAAGAATATAGTAATTAAGCTGTAAAATTTAATAAACAATTATATCATTAACAATGTTAACAAACAGAATCAGATGGTCAACACATTAAATGATGTTATACAACAGGTAACAAATAAACGTTTTAAGGTTGGTAAGTAAATATTCAGAAGGGCTGTTATACAAAAACACTGAACCCACACGTTATCCCAAGTGTCGATCAGTCGCTTATGATCAATGCATAATTTCATATCGATGTATTACCCTCATACCAAATTGGCACAACAGAGTAAAATTAACAGGAACAAATGTAGAACAGTCAAATAACACAATAACAATCATAATAACAATGAATAAATATTGAGAATATAGTTCGAGAACGTATCAAAACATAAATAGATCCAAATACTACTACTACTACTACTCAAGATCTAAAAGACAATAAAAAGTATACACATCACAGTCATCATGACAGATTCAAGGCAACGTCACACAACGTCTCCAATCATCCATCACGATATCCCTGTACACTACAAACACACAGTCTGCATTTACCAACATAACCCACACCAACAACCAATAATTACACGGACTCATACCATCTCATGGTTTGGCCTTTCATAGCTTACTTCCAACCATACCCTCCTCCACTCAACACCGCACGTCAAGGGAGGTGGTGATGGTAGTAAAGTATACGTCCCAAGGTCTCAGTCTCAAACATCACAGTCCATCAACACTTGCACTCTCATCAATAGATCTTTCGTGCCTAACCCCAGTATAATATCCCTAATCTCACCGACGATCACTCAGCAGTTCTATGGTACACCGAACAATGATTTCAAGAGACCTGTGAATAAAGCGCTCTAGTCTACGGATTCCCACGATTTTCGTAAAACATGTTTCACAATACACAGTAGACTACGCACTAGATTTTAATGATCCTTCAGTCGATATCGAACAACCTAATAAAATAATTTGCTTCAGTGATAAAATATTACGCATATAATCTCAATGTATAAAGACACATTTACGTATACAGTCGAAACAAACCTTCGAAATTATCAGTCATTGCTTTGACATCATTACTTTCGGAATCGTTGGAAGTCGAAAGCAATGAAGATTGACTGTTTGGTTTCGTCTTCCTGACAGTTTCTGTGGTTTTCCTAATATTATTTTCCGAGTTCACAATCTGCTCCATTCGATCATCATTGCTATCATCATCAGTATCGTCTTGTGAACTGACAAAATCTGACAAATTAGAATTATCTGAACTTGATGACAATAAGTTCTTTTTAGGACTAGTTTCTAGTAGGCTAAGTGGACCTAAAAAATAAAGTGGTGAAAACAGGAGAAATAAGGCTTTAATTATAGAACTAAATATGGTAATTCGTACACAAGAAATAATTATCTTTTCTGAAGGATATTCATCACCCATCTAATAAAAAAAAGATGTTTATCTGACAATATTGGTGTTGTCCGCCATGAAATTTTAACGAAGAGTAAATAGTTGACACCGCCTTCTGTGTAGAGGTTCCTAAAGGTCTATGAGTTAGCAGGTGATGTTAATGAGTGTTTGCAACATCACAACAATGTTTCTGACTAGTAAATTGATCGTTATGATAGATCGCACTGCTATCTTCCCCAGAACTACCCCCTACTGAGACATTTTGTTTTACTGAAATCCAAAAGTCATACGGAGGTGTTACAGAGACGATGTGGAGATCGGAAAATAGAAAACGACAGGGCAGCTGTAAAACTTGACTTACAAAGACTATCAGTTATGTTTCGAACAATGAAATATATATATGAGAGAAGCCTATCACAATAAAATGGGAGTAGAGACAAAAACTCCGAGTCCAATTTAAATCTTATAATGAGTTCTATAGACAAACTGACGGCGTAGCGATAATGTCACACACTTGGTGCACTCCTACCTGACTTTCATTGGCGATCTCGAAAACACTATACATAGACCAGCAATTGACAGATTCTACACATAAAAGAGATAGTTAGGTTATACATTCATCATTTGTGACAAAATATCAATTTCAACATCCTGACGTAAATCAATTAAGTTCAAGATGGAATCTCAGTTGGATTCAGAATTTTACTTCTTAGATAACGTTTTTTTAAAAGGAGACCTAATGATTGTCTAAAAATTCGATATACAGAAAGCCAACCTGGAATGTCTAGTACGCAAACCTTCAAAGCTTGTTCCCACTGAAGCATCAATGAAACCCGATTCACTCTCTATAGACGAAGATTATCACTTACGGGTTTTTATATTATTCAACACCATGATATTCTATTATAGACTGGTATTGTTAGCAGACAAATTAACTATAAGTACGATTGTACAGCTTATGTAAATGAAATCGTCGGGAAAAAAAACATTTTCTTCGCGGAAAATCGTCTTCATCGTTTTTCAACGACATAATGATCCTCTTTTGTTAAATTAGGAGTTTGCCAAATGAGGATGGGAGTGATGCAACTTTACAGCTTGTAAAATAAAGTTTTTATGATCTGTTTGGCTTTTTATTGGATAAACTAGTAATTATTTACAAATTCGACTGTCAATTTTCGAGTAGCAAGGTAAAAACCAGTTAAACAATAAGTTTGAAATCTTATAAATCGGCAAGTAATAAGTGAATTGTACTGTCAAAAGAAATTAGGAATGTTTTTCAGTTGGCTTAAGCGATACTAGTTTGTTGAAATCACTGACTAATATGATAATATCCATTTCATTCAATCTTCGAGCAAAACCAAGGACCAATTTTGAAATTCCGTACTGCTGTCATACGTATAGGCAGAGACTACCCGTGGACATAAAAACAAAAAACGATCCGTCATGTGATAATGTACCTTTTACATAGCCTCTTTTACACCATTAGGTATAGCTATTTGAGAAAAACAGTAAGTTTTACCAAAAATAAATCTAAATGCAGTCTCCCACAATATTTTTCAGTCAAATACCTAAAAAAAACCAGAACCTATTATATAATTAAAATAAAGAATTTGTAGATTGCTCAATATAAAAGTAATTTTTAACACGTATCGACATTAACCGAAAACCGTGTTTCAACATCACTCGGAGATCAAAGTAAGAGTTTTATGTCATTAAGTACCATACATCCAGTAGTTCTTCTGTTTTTTAACCCCGCTTTAGATGGTGTTCATGGTGAAAATTAACATTATTCGATAGTTACTTTAGTAATATAAGAATCAGAAACATTCATAGGACTGGACGGAAAAACCTGAGAGCAAGTAAGCTCATGAGCTGGATCTAAACAGAAATGAAAAATAGCGCATTTTTTATCAGTAAAAAAAGCTAATTCCTTTTCCGTATTTTTAGGTGTTCTCATGTGACCTAAATAAATCCCTTTTTAAGAATAACATGTGTTTTGCATATGATTTTATTTCCCATTTGGTAAATTAACTAGTTCAAGTGGCGACAATGATCCTAAAAGACATAAACTGAAAATTTTGATCTAGTTTAAGGCTTTTTTGTCACGTACTTCAGCTTTTATTGATTAAGTTAAAATTGGTTTCGTTATTGGAGTGATATCCACAGGAAAACTATTAAAAATAGAGAAGTGCTGAGAAGCTGTCTCATCCTGACCCTATGCCAGGCCATTATTATTCATACACGACCACATGCACACACACATGGGATCGAACTCATGACCTTCAGGTCCCGCCTAGACCGCGTTACCTTCAAACTACTAAATTGGAGTTAATTGGTCTCATTACGATTTTTACAATATTAGAGTCGAAAGTAAAGATCGGCAGATGGAATATTTCTTTAATATGAAGACGGATCTAATGAAACTAGATATACTAAATGACTAATATACAACGAAGACAGCCGTACATGCATAAGGAAAGAGAGAAAACGGAACCTTAAAGAAAAGACAATTATATGAATGAACATCACAGTATATAAAACATTTTACGAAGCAAAGTGACCAATAAGAATAGGAGTGAATTACGTAATATTTCTACATTACAAGGGTCATTATGTTATCGAGATGTGAAAAAGATGAAACAACATTGTTGCGGCGATTCCAACTGATTACAATAATATCGGTACCAGTGAAGCCCAATAGATCTATATTTTAAAATTCAACAAGTTTGTGATTACGACATACATTATCCATTACTAACGGTGGGTAAAGCTGAGTCACCATCGACATGGTTGGGTTTTATCAGTTACAACTTCTTACAAGAAATTCAAGACCCCATTAGAAAATCAATCACTAGTGAGCAACAAAAAATAAACGTTTGGTTGAAAATTTTGTTCAGATTACCTTAATATTAGATTATTTTTCATTGTCCTTGGAAAAAGCAATAAAATTATTTTAATGAAGCAGAAATTTAGAACTATTAGACAATGTTCACATATGTCGACAAATTGATGATAACATAATCGATGATGAACAGTTCGGCGAGACTATAATTAATACATGAACTTCAAGAGACCCCAGAGTGACCTTGAGAAAATTCACCTACTTACTAGGGTCGAAAGAGGTTTACAAATCAGTGTGAGAAATTAAAATTAAGATTTAGAGTTAGAAGTTAAAGTTAAGGATAAGGCATAAAAGTTTTCATCACGAACTGACATCAGATATAATGCTGAAATGCTATTTAATAATATGGATAAATGAATTTTGCACCGACAACCAGGACTAACCACCTTTAATTTCAATAGTTCGTCCATAAATTATAGTCTCGCCAACAGTCCAACCTTCAAATTTTCACTACATTTGTACATTTAAACAGAGAATTAGAAAATGAAACAGATGAATTCCGGATGATGTCAATTTATCTCTAGTTGGTTAAGACATAACTCGCCTCGATATATTATTATTCTTTCTTAATCTAATTGAATAAATGTATGAATTATTAATAATTTTGTGATCGACTCAAGCATTTTCTAATATCACACGATTGTTTCTAATTATATAAATAAACGTTAGTTTATGAAAATGAACAATGCTTCAAAATCCTGGCTAATATAGTTTGACGTTAATTATAATATTACAAAGATACGCATTAATTCAGAATAACTCACCTTCGAAATCACAAACCACTTAGTATGATTATCATTATCATTATTATTATTATTACTATTATTATTATTATTATTATTATTATTATTATTATTATTAATCCAGTAATTGTCGGTAGTAGTATAAAAATAATCTGCAACTTAAGTTATAAGGATCCATTAGTAAAACTGATAAACATCTACTCATTAGTAGTATCTACGGAAAGAAAATGCTTACCGTAAATTAATCGACCACTTTTAGTTTCTAACAAAGTTTCATCACCACTTTCAGATAATTTGCGCCATTGATTTCGACCTGATTTACTGAGAAACTCCAGATTAGCATCAGGATCTGTTAAAAAAAGTGCAGTAAGAGAACAAGATAATGATGCTGAGAAGAGGGAATAAGTAAAAAGTCGTATTTTATTCTTTCTTACTTACGCTACAGATAAAAAGTTTATTTCGGTGAATAGAAACAAAGAATTTCACACGTCTATGTAACTGGGGGCTGAAGCTAAACTATTAATGATAACAAATAGCTAGCTGTCCGAGGAGAAATAGGTAGATGGGAGGTTGAATATGTGACCTACTGATTAAAAGTCTAATGATCTAATCATTAAATCAATCACTCAGTATAGATCTTCTTAATCGTTCAATCTTCATTCTTTTTACAACTAACAAATAATTCTCCATAGTTAACAACAAACTGACTCCAAAACACCAAGCCCTCGTAAAAATATGCTTTAGAGACACTAATCGATAGTGATAAACAGGACAAAATAAGTCTAAAATATGCAATCCAATGAGTTGAACCTAACAAGTGACACCACCACAGTAGTAGACAAAATATGTTAATGTGTCCGATGGAAGTATAATTATAATTCAGTAGAAAAATTAAGTTATGATAATCAAGTTATCTTGGTAATAAACAATCCTTACCGACGTTTGTCTTTTTGTCTACATATCCGTTAAAAACAATTAAAATTTCACAGTCATCTATACTACATAATACACTCAGACAACAGTTGATTAATCTACTCCTACTTAATTAAAACAATATTGGACAATTTACTGGTTGAAAATAAAACAAAGCACAATTATTACATTTCATATTGTGCTTGGACAATAACTAGTTGTTATAACTTTATAACTTATCAGATAATTCTTTGATATTTGAATCAATGGGTATCCTATCTGACCATATTATCCAAACGCAAACACTATAATATGTGAATGTTCAGCTAAACAGTTGTAAAATGAATGAGATAAACGAGCTGAATGGCATCACACACTATCACCAAATAAAGTTATGGTCTCATTATAATAGAAACCAAACAAAAAACCTAATGTGTCAACAGTGGTTAATCAACTCAATTTAATGAGTTGATCATGTAAAATATCAAACTCAAATAAAATCAAGTCATCGGGGAAAAAACAAATTGTTTCGTCTATCATACCATAAACATCAAAAGTTGACAATTCTTTGTGTAACTCTTTTACATGTAAATATGTGATATGTTTACTACGACAAGGTATTCTGCGTAATCTTGGATCATCCATTGTCATTCCAAGTCGACAATCACAAGCTTTTGAAGCTAATGAATCTGGGACAAGAGGTGAGGAAATCCGATAACTAGAATTATCCGAAGAATAGTTAGTTGATTCATTCAAATTATCACCGGTAAATTTATAATTAGATGGCGCAGATGAGGATGATACAGGTGGATTAAAAAATATACTTCGATGTACTTTAGGAGACCACAAAAATATCAGCTGGCAAGATTGTAACAGAACACGCCATTTATTATGTAAAAGATCACTTATTTCCTAAAAAAAATTTAGAAGAAAATCTTAGAAAGAAACAATTAATCAGGAGAAATAGAAAATGCATCCAATGTTCCACTGACACATGACAACTTATTAAAGGTAATACGTTCACCGCTGGACCTGAAGATTTTAGATTCGGCCTCTATTGGAGTCATAGATGTGTATATCAGATGAGTCCCTCACATGAACATAAAAGCTTTTCAGTACTTCCTTGTTTTCAATGGTTGTCTCTAGCTAAAATCAATCTATGATTTAAACTATCTTAAAAATGGATTGAATTGAACAAAGCAGTTATTTATAACTTCAATTCTCCGAATAAACTATTTCTCAATAGATTTAGTTGTGTAGTTAACTTATAAGAAAGTTGTTGTATCCTCATAAAGTGTTGTAACCGATACAGCTTAACAAAATATTGATATGGCTATTTATGACTTGTCCTGTACAGTGGGACAAGAGTTGATACGGTTTGATACAAGGAAGGAAAGATTGCCGATTCATATTTATTCATGCACTAATCACTGGTTCAAGAACTATGTCAACATTATATCACGTTATATATGATTTACTTAACTGGTGGTAAATAGGCAAACATGAATAGATCAAACTGATCAGAACTTGGTACTGATTAATCAATGACTTAATGTATGTGTACAATTTACAGAGTCAGTGTAGTAACTAACAATATAACTAAACTATTGAGCTGTATATTAGTTCCTTCCTGAGAAAAGTAAGTATGCTAACTGGTATATGAAAGTATTATTTAATACCTTGGAGTCTCAACTTCATGACACTCTTACTCTGCTCGTTTTTATTTGTTGTTGGATTAAACCAGTTTTCACTGACACGGTAAATGGTTACAGCTAGTCTTTTAAGATAAATGTCCTAACTTTTTACTAAGACAACTCAGAATACTTCAGTGTACTGGAAATATGGATAATAAATTGCTAGATATCGAAAAGGAATCGCTAAAATACGATTGATGTCATTTACTGTGGACCTGTCGAGAACTTGAATTCATATAAATTAACGTCTATTCTGAAAATGATACCGAATTCAGTCAGTCAGTTGTCACCAGCCCACCAGGGATGATGCAACTTTCAAGGTAAATGAAGTGGTCAACGCACACAAACATTACCAGTTCAAGGGTTTGCGCTAACCAATATTGAAACATTTTGCATTCATAGGGAGACAAACGCATCCTGGACGTGCTTGCACTGTTCCTCAAGGTGATGAAAAGGCTATAGTTTTCAAAGTCCTCACCAAATAAGACTACATCATCTGAGGATTCCAAGTCGGTAAGTGAATCTCTTAGTAGGAGATTAACTCCTGAAAAGTTAAGCGTTATTTCTAGGAGGACAACTATAACAAATCTGTATAAAAAGGAAGACAGTGGGCAACTCTGACGAACACTACTTGAGGTTGAGGATTCTGGTGACAGTTTTTCATAAGCTCTGATTCGACCAACAGTGTTCGAGTAGAGAGCCTTATCAAGGTTGGATGGAACTATTAACTGTTATTATATCTTTTTCTGTCCCCAAATTATCATTAGTTAATTATAAATCTACTATTCAGATTTGTGCTGTGAATGTCTTAGTTGGGTACATATCATTTGTGAATGCAATAACTTCAAAACACTTGACAAATTACTTCTTCTAATAGACTTGTTTTTCAGGTATGAGTGGAATTTTAACGCACCCGCTATTGAAAAGTTAGTCTTTATCACGGATTAACACCAAGTGGAAAAAAAACTGAACACCCGGGAGTATTAGACTGCTATTTTAATCCAATTTGCTGCTATTCAGTAGCACTGCTCATTTACGACCCCACATGGGATCGAACCCAAAAACTTAAGGTTTCGTAGTGAGCACAAATTCTTTAATCAGTTTAAGTCAACTCGCAACATGGTTCAGTCATCTTCCGTTATCAATAGTCGGTGACTGCTTCACATCCAATATGGTTTAACCTCACTGGTCACAGTTTCTTACTGAGACTGAGATTATGTCTCACTAATTTATCACGATTTGGATTTTTTATGCAACTCGACAATCAAGTACAGGCTAATGTACTTGGTTTTAAGTCACACATAGTGTAAGGGAAAATGACACTACATGTAGTCACCTAAACTGAATTAGATACATCTACAACTCACTGGTTAAAAGCCAAGTCTTTTAACCAATAGGCGATTGCGTTTTGTTATTATCATATGATTTCAATGCTGATTTTCTCGCTTCAGTGAATATACCTGACTGATCAAGTAAAAAGACCAAAGCACTCAACATAAACTTCTTTAGATACAAGCCAGTTCTTTGCTATCTTCCATTACTTTGTAAGCAGTAACAAGAGATTATTGCATGCTACCTCAATAACTTGACAAGTTCGTATTCGTGTAATTATATAGAAATCACCATAATCACTAAGAAATGGGTACGTAAAACAATGACGCAATAATAATTATTAACGATAATTACATTACGAATAGTTGCTTCACCATGACGTCGAAGATTAGCACCAGCTGATTTCACTCCGCCAAGACCACCACATTGTGAATCATAAGATGATTGGCCACCACCTTGTTTAGCGCGTACTGTATAATTGCGCAAAGTTTTATGAACAAGCTCGTTTGTTCTTTGAAAGTGAAAAAATATAATGTCAAACATATTCGGGGATGAGATAGTACTGATCGGTGGAAACCAATTGATTTACTTCTAACGTATAACATTAATTTGGGTTCATTTTAAAAGTCAAGAAAACTTTAAGCCTGACATGCTGTAACGCGGAAACTCTATTTAGTGGCATGTTGTATTCTACAATATGAACTATTTGATCAAAAGGACTCACAGATTAATATTGTTTGTCAAGTAATTACATGAACTCTGTTACTTTGATTGTTAGTTGCGGACTCCATGCAATGATAAAAACTTAAAACGCGTGAAATTTCATGGGCATTCCGATTACCGATTCACTGCCTAGATGATCAGATAAACTTCGGAAAATTGTCTTTATACACAGTTTTAGCAGAACACTTGAGGCTATAATCAAAAATTGTTTAATAATTGATGGAACCAATACAAAAGCTATAAGAACGGGATCATGGTTATGTGAGTATGATACTGAGTTACAGAGCAACAATTTTTCTAAACACATGGAACGTCAGGACAATATGGGAGACTGGGAGGATCAATCAAACAGTCACAGAAACGAGGAAATACAACTTGGTGATTCTCGGAATAAGTGAAACTCATTGAATCTAAGCTGGACAGAAAATATTAGATTTGAGAGAGATTCTGTCCTACTGTGATCTTGAGGAAGAAGATGCTCCGCACACTCAGAGTTGCACTAATGCTGTCCAAAGAAGCATGAAAAACACATATAGGATGGAAATCTTATGAATCTGGGACCATCAAAGCATCCTTCAAAACAGAGAATGTTATCCAATATTATGCACCCAAGAATTATAGCAATGACGACGATAAAGACCAGTTTTACGAGAGGATGCAATCGATCATAGCGAAGCTCTTGCAGAGCCAATGTGAACCCTTTTCAAAGATAGATACAACTATAGATTAATTTCATGATGTTAGAACACTCTCCAATTGCCAAACCTTTGTAAACAACTCAGTCAGTTCCCTAACCAGAAAGTCGCCACCATCTTTAAAAAGAGCCAGGAGTAAGTCATCTGGACCTGGTGGTTTGTGGCGCTTCAGAAGTTGGAGTTCCTTGCGGTCACCCAGGGTAGACTGACGTGCTTCAATGAAGTGTGAGGAGCCTGAAGAAACTCAGTGCTTACAAGCGGGACGTTTCGCGAAGCTGCAAGCGACTTCACTCACTATTTCCGTGGCACCATTCAATTGCAGCCAACGTTCATCCATACTTTTCGGTGGGCTGGTAGCTAGCCGATGAGCGCATTCTAGATAACACAGATACTATCTCCAATACATAGCCCGTTATACGATCAACGAACTTTCGTAGAAGACGCACGGTGAAGTACAGACGTCAAGATTTTTACTTAAGATGTGGCAGATGTGGTATTTGTACAGAAAAGCAATTGCTTCGTACATAATTTGGAACTTAATTGCTATACATTGCCTCCACATCCCCCTACAGTATCCTCCTTTCTTCATGCACCTGTTTATTTTCAGCTAATAGTACTTTTTGAACAGATCACGGAATTTATAATATACACAACATTCAATACTGCTGCTCACTCCAATTACCTATAAAATATAGTAACTGATACGTATACTACTAGCATTGTAAGGAAACTGGATAATGGAATTATGATGTGATTTTTTATAAACGACATATAAAACTGTAAAAGATAAATATGACCGAAGCTTTTTAAAGTTCTCCCAAATTCTGTTTAGAAAACCAACCTCAAGGCGACTTACCCATCAAAAATACCACCAGCGAATTTACCTCCAGAATAAAGAAGAATAGCCCATTTCCGACTTTGTCGAACACGCGAAACAGATGCCAGCAACTCATCCATTGTTAAAGGCATAGTCTGAAAGTAATGAGAAACAATATAAAGTTAAAATACTGTGAACTGCTTCAGTTATCTAATATCAAGTGCTGAACCTGCTCCACAGTTTTATTGATAAAGGAAGTTGCATTCAGTCATACTGTAACTAATAAAAATTTCTGAAAAACAAATGTCGGACGTGTAGTAGTGATTTGTCATTATCTAGATTTGGTTCTTAATGAAATGGACAGCGTACTGCATTTCAATATTGTAGCAACTTGCCCTTTCGCTTAGGCCTGTTAGTAACACTCGTGTCTAAATGTACGTAGGTGCCTATTTAAAATTATTAGGACTACCGCGAATTTCATTTATACGCATTTACATTACGAGAAACGCGAGAGAATAAAGTATATTGTTATGTAAGATGCAATTTTATCCTAATTTTGCTTACTGCCAGGATTGATTCAATTGCCCCTAAATGCCCTGGTACGGCCGAGGGTGGACAGAGTCAGCTCTATTTGTCGAAATGTTCTCCCATAGCCATGAGTATACAGCCACTGACAGGGAAGTCCCACTGACTGCCTTCTTGCGGCAAGGGTGTTTTTTACGAAATTGAGAGAACGGAAAGCGAATGTCCAGAGCTTTGACCGGGTTTGTGGATATGAAGGATCCACCAAGGGCAGTTGGAAAACCCTGATTTCAAACCAATGGTGCATATGGGCTCCAGGACTCTGAAAGAACAAAGACTGTATGAACCTACTGTTGGTTACCGGCTACCGTGAGACTGCATCTCCTAAAGTTGTTCCACTGCCTTGTGGATTAGACCTTTAGATCAAAGGCTCGTGGTACGGCTCCTTAAGGAAACCATCTGCTTTTGTTTGAGCGACCAAGCAGTATTCCAGCCCTCACACAAATCTAATGACAAAGTGTGGCGCATATTTGGTGCTTCCTTGTAATAACGTTTACGTGTTTAAATAAATAAATTAGTTTTATGGCTGTAATGTCAACTTCTGAATCGCTGCACAATTACGTATTGAAAATATGTCTAAGCATACATATACCAAACTGAATAAAGTTAACATCACTATTATTCTGAAAACTGTTTACCTTCCTAGTAAATAGAACACAACGATTTATTCCAACTATTTCTGAATTATAATTTCGGAAAAATAACATCTGCTTATGTGACGATGCAGTAAGTGACGAATTAGTAACCGTATTAGATGATGTACCATGATCGCAGTCATTGTTGTCAATATTTGGTTCTACAGTTGCTGACAGTGAATTAATTGGACTTATTCCAACTTGATCGACGGTATTTATTTTCGAAACATTTTCTATTTTCTCTTGTCTTAAAGTTTCGAACAGATCAAATGTTAGTGGACAATAACCACGTAAGGATCGATTTATATTGCAGATATGCCATTCGCTTTTGAAGTGTTCTCGCTGGAGTGAAAAAACAATCATTAGCATAGAAGATTTTTTGTGAAAGATACCATATCTACTGCATTATCCATTTTCAATTGACATATATTACAATGAAACTTCTGAAGGGACGAAATGTAATTTTTCGTTGGAGGATCTGCTGTTTTCGCATCTGTTACGTATCAATATGATTGTATTAATTTACCTGTATTTTCAGAACAATGGCTGTTGAACGTCTCGCCAACTAAAACCAGACCAGTTAACTTTTCGACGGCTATTTTTTGGTCGAAAAACTGGTAACGATCGCACGTACGTTTGCATTGACGACTGATAAGACCAACATTGGACGACATCACGATATATGCCAGACAATTTTTCTGGAATACGGATAGAAAAAAAGACTAATCATTAAAGCTAAAGAGTTTATTTAATTTCATCCGTAAAAAATAACATCCTTAGCTGTTGGTCGTTAATTAGGAAGCTGACTTATAAATCTCTTTAGATACACCGGCACACATTATTCAGGTAAGACATTTGGATATGATCCTACAAAACAATTAGGTAGTTATTGGCTATATACAATTCACCTCTTTGATTTGTACAATGCTGAAATCGCCAGCGCCAAAAAGCGAGAAATTTAAATAAATATCCTTAACTTATTATTCTATTAAATCATAATTAAAATTTGCTATAAAAACAGTTTGGTCTATATTTTTATGTGTGAGGGAAGCGCCCTAAAGTAAACCTATAATTTTCCCACAAAAGCAAGCATACTGTTTCCGAGTAACAGAACAATCATAGAGCCAATTTTATTTCATAAAAGTTGATTATGAAGTAAGCCACAAATAAAGGTAGACAAGACTAAAATTTTAGGTATACCGAGTGACAAAAACATCTCTTAATACTACTTAAGACATTTAAAACAATTGAGAAAAATATTGCTTGCCATCAAAGTGAAAATGGACGTGCAATATAATCTGTAGATCGGATATAATCGTCGAATCGAACCGTGATTCTGAGCTCTTAATCCTGAAACGAACACCAATCTAGTATCACTCTGTTTTACGGACAAACTAGTAGGATGGCTTATTTTGCTTTTAAATCTAAATTTACGCATCCATTTGACTACAGAGCAATTTTGTATCGCAGTTAATTAAAAAACTTGACACTACCCAAGCTCCCAACTTTGGGGAAATCCCCAGAGTGAAACAGCCTTCCCCAAAGTTTGGGGAACTTTGGGGAAATCCCCAGTCTTTGGGGAAATTCTGGGGAAATTACCGAATTCATGTGTAGCGCATCATTCCAGAATAACATTTCCTAAGCAATCGATTATTAAACGTTAAAGCATTAAATTACAATTAAAATTTGTTAATTTTGATACAATAAAGACTTTTGCTCAGGAATAGTCTATCGACTTTCGTGCCTTGTTTTAATACGTCAAACAGACACGAGACAATGGATTGTCGTCTCTAAACTACTTTTTCAAAATTCGAACGCCATGCAAGTGAGTTCTTAGCATTATCCGAAACTTCGATTACTGTAGTTCTTCAGTCTTACTTAAGTAAATTGTCTCTTTCAGGAAAATAAATTACAGCTTGATAAGATTGCTAAAAGAAGGGCTCAAGCTGCCAGAGACTTGAGGTTGCTGGGCTGTCCCAGATCAACTTATTACAGAAGGTTGCGCAAGTTGAGAGATGAATTCATAAGAAATTATCAGTTAAGCAGCAGTGACGAAGATGACAACAATGCAGTTGTCATCACAGGAGTTCGTACAACGGTAGCTACAGAGCAGTGTAACAGTATTGTCTCAGAAACAGCCACTGCTTCATGTAGTTATGTTCAGTGTGCTGGCAGTACAACCAATGGTAGTGTATCTTCATTAATGAACTATGTATGGGTGGTGTGATTTCAGAAATGTCTCCACCCAGTCATCTTTCAATGAAATAAGAGGTAGACCGAATTGTCTTAGGCATCATGAAAGGTGGTGATATAACGGTGAAGAAGGCAGACAAAATTCTGGACGTCATTCGCGTGCGCATACCTGAACTACCGACATCCGTCCGAAGTGTTCTACGTAGATGCAACGACGTGGAGCCTAAGATTCTCGGAACGGGAACTTATTACCATTTGGGGTTGAAATCAAGTCTGCTGAGGATTACGGAAACTTGGCTACGGAAATTCCGTTTTACAGAACTGAAGCTGCAGTTGAACTACGATGGTCTAAGGTTGTTTAAAAGCTCTAACCAACAGCTGTGGCCGATACTAGGTCGCATAGCGGGTCCAATAGTTAGTAATGTATTTATAATTGGCATATATGGGTGTGAAGTGAAACCGTGTGATTTCAACGACATGTCAGCAGCACTTATCACTGAGTTGCAAGAGTTGCTGACAGTAGGTCTAAATGTAGATAAGTAACAGGTACATTTAACAGTTAAATTGGTTGCCGTTATTTGTGATGCTCCGGCTCGCAGTAACGTCCGGTATGTTGTTGGACACAACGGTACTGCTGGCTGTGACAAATGTCATGTTTTAAGGATACGAATGGGTGGTCGAATGACATTCCACAATGGTGAACACAAATTAAGAAATGATGCCACTTTCGCAGTAGCCCAAGCTCCAAATTTTGGGGAAAATTTTACACATTTTGGGGAAATGGCACAAAACCCACAGAATTTCCCAAAACGTTGGGGTTTTCTTCCCCAAAATTTCCCCAAACCTTGGGCTTTTTCACCTACATTTCCCCAAACGTTTTAGGGTTTCCACAAACTTTAGCTTTTTTTCCCCACACTTTGGGCTACCTCTACAGAACCGTTTTAACGCAAAAGTTATACCGAAATCTGCGGATATCACGGAAAACCTAGCGATAATACATACGTACATTTCTTACTGGGATATAACATTAGGTTTCGTCAACTACGTGTTGCCAAAGAAACTGAACGTCAATCGATTTATCGGTTTCATTAAAAGACCAATTTTTGAAATACTTAAATGTTTATTATAGTTAATAAAATTACACATTATTAACTTACACGACGTTTTTCATTGCTTCGTTCCTGTAACACGTTACGCAGAAGTTGAACTATCATTTGGTAGGTTCTAAAAAAATAAAAAAAAGACTTTTTGGTTTACAACAACATATGAAGATATGTGAAACGTCGATGACGTACTAACAGAATGACCATGCTTTCAATAATCCGAACAAATAACTTACAGTTACGTCAGGTAAAGCCTGTAAAGCCAGCTGAAAACAAGAGGAATATGACAAAAGTTTTATCACTATAAACATTGATCACAAAGTAATAATCGAAGTGCAATATGTATTGTTGCTTTGGCTAACCTTTTCTTTGGATCGCCATCCGCGTTTATTAACTTGATCTCTTGTGTCATACAAGAAAGCCTGGCTTGCTGTACCCATGGCGTGTATCAAGTCCTTTTCCAGACAGGTCGCACTTCGGAAATGGGAACAGAGAACACCTATCAATGTGTTAATGCAATAGTGTGTACTTACTTTGAACGGTTGAGTAAAATTTGTACTTACTAATACCAAATTTACTGTGCGTTCCGTGCAAAGTGTAATTGTTGGCCAGTTCCAGCGAAAGCACGTAACTCAGACAAGCTTTCGCTGATTTCCGAGGATCGTCACACAGGAACCCGTTTAATCTTCCCACCTAAAATTTGTTCAAATACCTGTAACGACTTATGAAGTAATCCTGGAACTGTACGCTATCTAAAGCAGCTTCGAAAGAACGCAAGTCCTCATGCGTTCTTAATGGGAATGCCATAGCTGCAGTGTCTACGGGCTCCGTACGCCTGTCAGTTACACCCATGGATAAGCGTTCGTTGTAAGTGATCAATTTATCCATCTTACGAGAAAGATCACCGACCGCCTTCAGCAGCATTCTCAACGTTTTATGGATATTGTCGCCCAACCTTTTGTTATCAGGAATACAGTAAATGCAACTTACGATTTACCAATTGTCGTTGATGTACATGGAATGGGCGGTGATGAAACCTATGTTTTTGATGAAATACTTTATGAGTATAGATTAAATAGGTACATACTTGGCTATAGGCGAGAATCTTCCCGTCAAAATGTTTACAACTGGAAATTCGACCGGGGCAAATCCAACTTCCACCTCAGCAACCTCTAGTTCTTCAGAGGTGCATAGATAGTCACAAAGTTTGCGTTTGGCAGCCCTAACACTTAAGTTGTTAAGTAAGCTGAACAAATTACCTCTTTGCCTTTTCTGCTTCACACGGCAGAGTTTCATCATCTGTTGTACCTTGGTTAATGTAACCGAGTACAGAGGTTAAGCACTTCTTCATTCCCTGGGGTACATGGTAGTCTTCTAAAAAACAATGAATTAAAAACAATTACAACTTACCACAACTATGCAGTACGGTGCCTTTTCTCAACGTGAATTGACTATCAAAATCCACACCATCAATGATGTCATTCTCCGTAACATCATCCCGATAAACGTAGTGGTCGTTGTTCAGAAGCCATTTCTTAGGAATGCAAATAACTTGTTTCTTCTCATTATCATTAATCAAGATGTACTTTCCCGATTGATGCTGTAATTCAAAGATTAGGCTTTAAAAATTTATTACTTTCATGAACATTCATTAACACATCCTGATGGAGGAGGCCGAAGCACTAACCAACAGACACCTACTACCTGAAGTACTATTTTTGCGACAGTTATTGAGAAATGATGTCACATTTTGAATTAGGATGTATGCAAAAGGGGGATAATGACCTCATAATTTTGTGTTCGCATACAAATACACTTACAAAGTATGTCTGTTATACTAATCCAGTGACACTCGTTGCTTAACGTAGAACATTTAAACATACCGATAGTGCTAGAGGGGAAAGGGTCAGTAAATAAATCTACAGGATCCTGGAATGCTCTAAATCTTAGTCGGCCTCCATCAGCTATTTGTGTGACGAACCCTGGTCGACCATTGACGATCACAACATTGTCCGGCCTGGTCGTAGATAGCTTTGAGTATCTGTAAGTGATGACTTCCTTTGAAGAATCATAAGTTAACTCAGGCTCATTGAGATTTATAGCCGAATCGTTATTAACTATACTGTGAAAGTAAACTTCTTCGGCATATCGCTGTGCGGCTTGTTTAGCCGCAGCGAATCCGCAATGTACTGAACGCCTGATTTTCCTCATGTATGATTCAAAAGGAAACGCAGAGAATGACTCTAAACTGCCATGTTCTAAAACATCCCCTGCAATGTGCTTTAAACTATGCACATTGTAGACTAAGTGGTCGCTGCCGTAACACTTTTCGTAACCTAATAAGAAGTTGTTAATGTTAACGCAAAACTTCATGTAGTGAACGACATTTGCGTTGAAAGTCGCATGTAGTGTGCTCTCTACATGTACAGAAACTTTCAGTCGCTCTCTTTGTCAATATATTTGTTATCGCACCCTAAGTTGCACACTATTTTTGCAGAAAGTGTTCGCGTTAACATTAACAACTTCTTATTAGGTTACGAAAAGTGTTACGGCAGCGACCACTTAGTCTACAATGTGCATAGTTTAAAGCACATTGCAGGGGATGTTTTAGAACATGGCAGTTTAGAGTCATTCTCTGCGTTTCCTTTTGAATCATACATGAGGAAAATCAGGCGTTCAGTACATTGCGGATTCGCTGCGGCTAAACAAGCCGCACAGCGATATGCCGAAGAAGTTTACTTTCACAGTATAGTTAATAACGATTCGGCTATAAATCTCAATGAGCCTGAGTTAACTTATGATTCTTCAAAGGAAGTCATCACTTACAGATACTCAAAGCTATCTACGACCAGGCCGGACAATGTTGTGATCGTCAATGGTCGACCAGGGTTCGTCACACAAATAGCTGATGGAGGCCGACTAAGATTTAGAGCATTCCAGGATCCTGTAGATTTATTTACTGACCCTTTCCCCTCTAGCACTATCGGTATGTTTAAATGTTCTACGTTAAGCAACGAGTGTCACTGGATTAGTATAACAGACATACTTTGTAAGTGTATTTGTATGCGAACACAAAATTATGAGGTCATTATCCCCCTTTTGCATACATCCTAATTCAAAATGTGACATCATTTCTCAATAACTGTCGCAAAAATAGTACTTCAGGTAGTAGGTGTCTGTTGGTTAGTGCTTCGGCCTCCTCCATCAGGATGTGTTAATGAATGTTCATGAAAGTAATAAATTTTTAAAGCCTAATCTTTGAATTACAGCATCAATCGGGAAAGTACATCTTGATTAATGATAATGAGAAGAAACAAGTTATTTGCATTCCTAAGAAATGGCTTCTGAACAACGACCACTACGTTTATCGGGATGATGTTACGGAGAATGACATCATTGATGGTGTGGATTTTGATAGTCAATTCACGTTGAGAAAAGGCACCGTACTGCATAGTTGTGGTAAGTTGTAATTGTTTTTAATTCATTGTTTTTAGAAGACTACCATGTACCCCAGGGAATGAAGAAGTGCTTAACCTCTGTACTCGGTTACATTAACCAAGGTACAACAGATGATGAAACTCTGCCGTGTGAAGCAGAAAAGGCAAAGAGGTAATTTGTTCAGCTTACTTAACAACTTAAGTGTTAGGGCTGCCAAACGCAAACTTTGTGACTATCTATGCACCTCTGAAGAACTAGAGGTTGCTGAGGTGGAAGTTGGATTTGCCCCGGTCGAATTTCCAGTTGTAAACATTTTGACGGGAAGATTCTCGCCTATAGCCAAGTATGTACCTATTTAATCTATACTCATAAAGTATTTCATCAAAAACATAGGTTTCATCACCGCCCATTCCATGTACATCAACGACAATTGGTAAATCGTAAGTTGCATTTACTGTATTCCTGATAACAAAAGGTTGGGCGACAATATCCATAAAACGTTGAGAATGCTGCTGAAGGCGGTCGGTGATCTTTCTCGTAAGATGGATAAATTGATCACTTACAACGAACGCTTATCCATGGGTGTAACTGACAGGCGTACGGAGCCCGTAGACACTGCAGCTATGGCATTCCCATTAAGAACGCATGAGGACTTGCGTTCTTTCGAAGCTGCTTTAGATAGCGTACAGTTCCAGGATTACTTCATAAGTCGTTACAGGTATTTGAACAAATTTTAGGTGGGAAGATTAAACGGGTTCCTGTGTGACGATCCTCGGAAATCAGCGAAAGCTTGTCTGAGTTACGTGCTTTCGCTGGAACTGGCCAACAATTACACTTTGCACGGAACGCACAGTAAATTTGGTATTAGTAAGTACAAATTTTACTCAACCGTTCAAAGTAAGTACACACTATTGCATTAACACATTGATAGGTGTTCTCTGTTCCCATTTCCGAAGTGCGACCTGTCTGGAAAAGGACTTGATACACGCCATGGGTACAGCAAGCCAGGCTTTCTTGTATGACACAAGAGATCAAGTTAATAAACGCGGATGGCGATCCAAAGAAAAGGTTAGCCAAAGCAACAATACATATTGCACTTCGATTATTACTTTGTGATCAATGTTTATAGTGATAAAACTTTTGTCATATTCCTCTTGTTTTCAGCTGGCTTTACAGGCTTTACCTGACGTAACTGTAAGTTATTTGTTCGGATTATTGAAAGCATGGTCATTCTGTTAGTACGTCATCGACGTTTCACATATCTTCATATGTTGTTGTAAACCAAAAAGTCTTTTTTTTATTTTTTTAGAACCTACCAAATGATAGTTCAACTTCTGCGTAACGTGTTACAGGAACGAAGCAATGAAAAACGTCGTGTAAGTTAATAATGTGTAATTTTATTAACTATAATAAACATTTAAGTATTTCAAAAATTGGTCTTTTAATGAAACCGATAAATCGATTGACGTTCAGTTTCTTTGGCAACACGTAGTTGACGAAACCTAATGTTATATCCCAGTAAGAAATGTACGTATGTATTATCGCTAGGTTTTCCGTGATATCCGCAGATTTCGGTATAACTTTTGCGTTAAAACGGTTCTGTAGAGGTAGCCCAAAGTGTGGGGAAAAAAAGCTAAAGTTTGTGGAAACCCTAAAACGTTTGGGGAAATGTAGGTGAAAAAGCCCAAGGTTTGGGGAAATTTTGGGGAAGAAAACCCCAACGTTTTGGGAAATTCTGTGGGTTTTGTGCCATTTCCCCAAAATGTGTAAAATTTTCCCCAAAATTGGGAGCTTGGGTATGCCCTCGACTTTTGTCCAAATTACTCGACCTTAAATAAGAATAGTGGAGAGATTTTCGAAATCTTTTTGAGTACGCTTGAGGTTAGAAAAATTAAAGTTTCACCTCTATATATCCATACATACGAGTTATCGCGCTTATAGGCAGATAAGCTTGTTGTATTTTAGCACATTTTTCGAAAAAAATGAAGTATGCCCACTCTATAATATCACTGCTCCCTTTTCTACAAATCATCTACTTCCAAAGGCTGGTTAAGAGCTATAGCTCTTTCAGATATATCTGAAAATTAGTTTCAGTCATTTTGTTTATCTCTATACTATACTCATCCGTCTCCCAGTCACAAAATGTGATTCCAAAATTCAGTTTCAAATTTTTTATAAAAACTAAGCAAAGCATTTCACAAAGCATAATAAGCGTACCAAATAACGACTAACCTCACCAATGCAAAGTAACGCAAGATTTGATAGTATAACCATAAAATGTTCAATATGCAATGAGTCTAATTAAATTGGAAATGGATTGTCTTGTCGTTGAGATACCCGCTGAACAGACAGGTAGATATTTGAAATCAGTAGCTGGATGGACAACGGGGTGGAATTTGAGGCAAACAACACTGGGTTCAAATCCTGAATTTCATATAATCTCTGAGAGGCAGGTATATCCAGCTGATGAATTCCAAATGGGAAAAAACCAGCATCCTGGATTTCATTGATAGTCAAGTCTCATCTGTTTCACATCATTGTTTCCACTCTTTAGTACATTCGTGACAAGTTTGAAAAACCAATTGATTTTTTTGTGCTCGCTTATAATTCCTCTCCTACAGTTCCAGGCTATTGACAATATACTACGACAGTAATCGACTGCAAACATTCTAGTCAGCTCACTGTTTTATTGTGGGTTTGCGTTCATCGTGATCCGAACAAACAAGACAGGGTCGTTGTCACTCCGGCTGGAAGAACAGTCCAACTCTCAATTATAAAAAGTGAAAGAGAGCCTAGATTTCTGTCCCTTGGTGAGTAAACGTTCAGAGATTCCCTCTCAGAGCATGTGATCAGACTTTGGAACGAATATTTTTCAGGAGACTGCGCATGCGTTTCAGAGAAATGGTAATGATTATGACTTTAGAACTCCAAAGCCTAACTTCAGTCTGTCATCAAACAACGAGGATCCCAGTTTTATCCGGATTTATATCTCTAGTGACACATGAAAGGGGTGTCTAGAAACCACGAACTCAATGGCACTGCGTAGAAGGACATAATAGCGGTGTTTGTGTCGCATGCTCTTTACTAGTTAAATAAGTGACTCAGCACTCGAACACAAATTCTGTGGAAGATGAGTCAACTGTCATTGAGATACCATAGTACTAAGGATGTACTACTGCTTCATGATATACCATCCATACCCATGACTCCGGCACGTGTGGAACTCCCCACTCAAACCGACGAAAGTTAAAACTAAGGCTTCATATGCAACAGTTGCGCCACGTATGCTCACTCCTGTTAGTGCAACATGCACACCTTCAAAAGTAGTACCACAGGAGTCCCTATAGAAGAACAACACAAATCCAAGTGGATCGCAAAGAGGACATACTGGCAAATCCATCAAAGGGGTCACCGAATGCCACACGTCTGCGATAAGGAATAGAAACACTGGTCATCGGTGCACCAAAGTTTGGTAAAAATAAGAAGCTGAACGTCATTACTAAATTCTTTTCAGTGCCCCATTTTGAGGGGCCATGTATTGGAATGTATCGGAATGAATCCTGAACCTTGATCGTTATTAGTGTTATCCTAGATAAACTCCATATCAAAGTCAAATACTACAAAAGATAAACTCTTCATCAAGAGTTACGCTGACGTCGATGGTTAGGCGATCGTCAAGTATAAGGGTTCAACATAATAACCTTGTCTGGTACGAAAAGCACTGAGGCGGCAAGTCAAAGGTGTTGAAGAACGAACCAGAATAGGTTCTAGAAAGATCGAATTCTTCACTTAGGACTGTACTTGTTAGGTTACAGGAGATTAAGAGGCTCTCTGGTGATTGTGCATAACGTAGTAATTACTCCAGGTCAATTCAATAAATATACGGTCTCATCACGGGTTGAGCCTACCTATAACGTTATCGTAGCCAACATTGACCAATGAACCGTCTAATACGGTCGATAACTCAAAGATTCATGAAACGGAATGGAATGAAAGTCAATTTTCAGTAATAGACACACGAAAGTATAACCCCATTCCTTTCATAATTACAATCTAGAGCGACCACGATTAGTTGGTACTGGAAATGCCGCCTTATCAGGCATCTCTTATTTCTCATGTAAAGACTTAGGTCACAATCGCGCCGACACCAGCATCCCAAGTCACATCCCGTTTTTTTCCTCTCAAACCTCCCGGGCACCCGGGCCGATCATGAGTTTCTTCCCGAATTCTTGCCGATTGTCCATAGGTTTATTGCTGGAAATATCCATGAAGCGTAGCTCATACGAGGTCTTGTGAGAATCAAAATTTAATTTCTGTTGATTGTAAACAGAATCATTAACGTCTCTCTTTAGTGATTAAATTTTACTACATATCAATCATTTGAGACCACTTCTACTATGTAATAGTAAATCAGACTGTCAACGCTTCCTAAGTATTTGTAGCGTGGTGTCGAGTTGAGCTTGACTATGAGCACCACTACAAGACTACGTGCCAATTAACCAATAAGATTCCCGTAGGCCAAAATTAGAAGACAGATGATATCTGTAGTTGAGATATATTTGCTGGCAATCCCGTGGTATCGAAAGGATACCGAGATCGTGCCAAAGGAGTACAAGCGTGGTTACTGAGCGTAACCGAATTCGTACAAGTTCAAAGTCAACGGGAGAGTAAGTGTAATGGCTGTCATTAGCATAGTTAAACAAACGAGCACGGTGAAACCATCACTGGTACAATTGGTTATAATAATAATTGTTTTCATCGAACCAATCGCGTTCTGTTGACAAAAGGAGGTCACTACATATTCTTATCAGCTTAATACCATTAACCACACTCAACTTTATGCAGCAGTGTTAAATAGCCCTACTTATTTCGAAACTTATCAGTTCATGACAGTTGGAATGAACATTCTTTTGACCTACAAGAAGGAGTGGAAGCGATATAAAGGTTATAATGACTACTATGATCGTGATTTCTGCAGATAAATGATATTTTTACGCTGAAAATTCACGACTTTCTTCAGGGTATCTTCTATAAAATCATAATTCGGCTTCCAACATTCGTAAGCCTGAAATTTAATAGAGCATGCATGACTTAAGGTATATTAAAAACATGAAACTCTCTGAATAGAACAACTGTTTCATTCGGAGACCACTAGACGTTTTCCAACCTCGCCTAGAGTAACGCTAATAAAAATGGTATGATCATAGTAATGTTCTATAAGGTTGGTAGTTTGTTGAGTATTAATTTTCAAGACACCAAAAACATTAAATAGAACAATTAAAAGAGAAATCAAGGAAGCTGGTAATTCAAAACAAAAAAAGAAAATATCTTAATCTGTTCAAGATAAACTTTGTTAGTTGTGTAGCGTGGCGTCGAGTCGCGGTTGACTATGAACACCACTACAAGAAGAGCGCGTACTAGACAAATCAGAAGGCGAAGAAAATTCGTAACCAGATTTATTTGTTGGCGATCTCGTGGTATCGAGATCTTGCCAAAAGGAATACTAGCGGAATTAGTGGGCAGAAGAACGAGTGCACAAGGTCACAGTCCACAGAAGAGTAATGGAGGATAATGAAAGAGTACTATAGCTGTCATTAACACAGTTAAACAAACGAGCACAGTAAAACAATCACTGGTACAATTGGTTATAATAATGATTGTTTCTATCAAACCAATCGCGTTCCGTCGACAAAAGGAGGTCACTACAGGAGCCCCCCACTGGAAAGGGTTTACACTTTCGATAGTTAGCGGTTTGATCTGTGGGACTGATCGGCAAAACTGCGGTCGTAGGACGGAAGAATTGGCGAAACAAGAAGCTATCGTTGATCCTCAAGTTGCCAACGAAAGTCTTTTGCGTAGAGCGGTACCAGGAGAAGTGTGCTGTATTTATTGCTCGAGTTTGCATACCACACCAGAGTGGTTTGTATCCAGAATCTAAAGATTGCGTTCGTAAGGATGCGGACCAGAAGACGCTGCAGACGTAGGACGAAACCACGTTGAGCCAAGAAACCGGAGTCGACCATAATGACCAAACGCGAAACCAAGCGTATGCTAGGCGGATTCGAAACCAGATTATCAACTGAGTGCGTTGACAAGAGCGTGGATGATCAGGCCAGCTTTCGCCAAAGTTGACTGAAGTCGACGTTACCAAACGTGTGATGGTCGGATGCGTGGGCTCAGGATACAAAAAAAATCAAAAAAAGAAAAGTGTAGCATGCGTGTAGTATAGGATTTGTCCTACACGTATTCAATGTTGACTGTGCGGTTGGTCGCGAAAGCGTACGAGTAAGCGTACTCGGCGACCAGAACGTGAGACGGTAGTCTCGCTCGTACTTCGTGAGCCTGAGATCTCATCCGAGGTCAAGGGCGGCGTGGTCTGCCGATCTGGACGTGAGACGGAAGTCTCGTCCGTAGATGGTGCAGATGACGTGTGCTGTTGACCGGAATGTGGGAACGAGGTCGCTGATGTATCTATCGTCGGATCCGAGGTAGAAGTAGAGATCCCGCTAGAAGGTTTGATAGGTCTAACATTGAGTCTAAAGTTATAGGGTGGGGCACCGTCATCGACGTGTGCTGGTTTGGGACGATCAATGCTGACGATCTCGAAGCGGCCATGTCGATCAACCTTGAAGGTCTTTTCGTGACTAGAGATCACGTGAAAAGGGCCCTCATAAGGCTGTTACAAAGGTTTGCGTACCGAATCTACTCGTATGAAAACATGTGAACAGGTAGATAACTCTCGAAGGAGAGCGACCTGTCGATGTTGTATTCGAGTTGACACCGGAGACAGCGTTCGCATAAATTCAGACAGTCGATGGACGTAGTCTGATTTACCGAAATCGTTACTGCCCCGTGGTGTGAAGAATTCCCTAGGCAGACGCATTGTCGTGCCGTATACACGTTCAGCGGCGAAACATTGGATATCTGCCTTCAAACTCGTTCTGATACCTAAGAGAACGAGCGGTAAGGTTTCGTACCAATTGTCGTTTTCGTGTGCTCGAAGAGCACTTTTAAGTTGGTGATGAAACCGTTCGACTAAACCATTCGATGCTGTATGGTAGGTGGTAGTGCGTGTGCGTTCCGTACCAAGCAGCCGGGTCAGTGAGGAGAATAATGTGGACTCAAATTGTTGTCCTCGGTCAGTCGTGACGGTCGAGGGACAACCATACAGTGCTATCCATCGTTCTACGAAGCGGTGAGCAACTGTCTCAACCGTAATAGACGTGATGGGAATAGCTTCGGGCCATCTTATA